CTATAATTTGCAAATAAATTCTTTAAAAATCCTACAATGTGATTTTCTGGACTTTTTTTTCTCATTTTGTCTCTCATAGTTGAGGTATACCTATGATGAAAATTACAGGCCTCTCTCATCTTTTTAAGTGGGAGAACTTGCACAATTGGTGGCTGACTAAATACTTTTTTCCCCACTGTATATAGGTATTGAATTTAGGGCTGTGCAATTATGCAGATGGAGCGGCATTTACTACACAGAGTCGTAGTTCACTGACAATTAGGCAATGTCGCGTTCATTATCGCAGGCGATTCGATCTGCGATAATGAACGCGATATTGCCTAATTGTCAGTGAACTACGGCTCTGTGTAGTAAATGCCGCTCCATCTGAAAGCAGGTGATGGAGATTTACTACTAATCATGGAACCGGCTTTACTGACGAGATGCGCATGACAATCGCATGCGATTAATTGCACAGCCCTATTGATATGTATCTTTAAAGTACTAATATGCACCCTATATATCCAGTATATATGTATAAATATCCAATCAATTTATGATAGGTAAAATTCCTGTCCTACATTTTTTTTCTCATTGCATATCATCAGAAATAGGTCACATCAGAGATACGGTTGTGAACAGGGTTTCATATTGTCTCCAAGGGTTCTGATGTCATATCAAACAAACACCATAGGAATATGCTAAATGGGCTGATGCTTTTGACATAGTCAACACCGGATGTGCAGTGACATCCAAGCACACTCCTTTTACTTACGACCCCCTTTTCATCACGTCATCTCTCTCTCATATGCTCTGCTTTGCCTCATCATTAACCACCAGCTGACGACTAAATAGGCATTAACTCCACAGGCTACTAAATAAAGAGGCCTGAAGGGAAGAGAACATGTAATATCATGTTACATGATTTTTTATTAATAACTTGCCTCTCGTCTTTCTATTTGTAAAGTAATCTTGAGCTATTTAGCTGCCATGTGCACACATATAATCTTGTGCATACACTGTTGTGTCCTCACAGAGTTTTAAGCATGTAGGCCATAAAAAAAATTCTCAGTTCTGATAAACACACCGAGCATGAATGTGGTCAGGCAAGTATCATGTGCACCATTCTGGATCAGAGAGAAGTGCAAGCCAGAACTGATTGCCCAAAAAGTAAACTGACATCTGTGAAACCCAAAGAGGTGCACCAGCCTCGTCTCTCCATGTCGTCCTGGAGTGACCTAATGCCACATTCTAGCACCAAGGATGAGCCAAGTGCGGCAAATAAGACACCCCCCACCCTCTCACATCTTGTATTTTTAGCCAAGATCTGATCTGTGTAACACTTAATATGGAGAAAAAGTCTTCATGTGTGCCTTAAGATCCCTTCCCTTTCCATCTCATAACATTTCATTCTTCATAATCTTTCGCTTCATTTTTTGTTGTCCCATACACAAATTTTCTGTTTCCCTAAAGGTCATACTAAAAAAAACCTGTATGGTTAACTCTACTTTGCCTTGCTCCAATCTCTAGACTGGCTCACTCTATGAAAAATTGTCTTTCTTTTTTAGCAGCCCCCTCTCTCTCGTATCAATCTCAGTGTCTCTCTTTCTCTCTCATGCACTCATGAAACCCCACCCCCTAAAACGCTCTTGACCCTGTTACTCGTCTCTTTTACCCGTGTGTAGGGGTTTCATACAGGGGGCCTCAGGACTTGGTCTTGTCTGTTCTGGGTGGCGGGGATCACAGGTCCTTTTTAATTTAATTTTATGAAGTATTTAGTCAGTTTGTTTTAAATTAATTGGAACTACATATTTCCCATCTTAAGTATTGAATCATGAAGTGGAACCTAGTGTTCCTTGGGCTCCTTCTGACCTTCGGGCAGCTGTCATGGGGGCAGAAAGGTATGGACATCCCTGAGTATGATGGAAAGGACCGCGTTCACGACCTAAATGCCAAGAATTACAAGTCTGTGATGAAGAAATATGACGTGATGGTGGTGTACTACCATGAGCACGTAGGATCCAGCAAAGTCGCCCAGAAACAGTTTCAGATTGAGGAGCTGGCCCTTGAGGTGGGTTTGACTCAGAAATCGGCCCAAGGGGATGGAGTTATAGGTAGCACCTGGAACCAGTGTAAATGTGGGCAATTCTGAAGCGTGCATTCTAAAAAATGCTGGGTTGTTTCAACCCAAATTTGGGTCCAATATAGACAAACCAAACTGTTGGGTTACATTTTTAAAATTACATTTTTAACCCAACGGTTGGGTTTGCCCATATTTGACCCAAATTTAGGTTGAAACAACCCAGCATTTTTTAGAGTGTAGATGTTAATGAAAATCCTTTACTAAAGACATCTGTGAAAGGTGGAGTATCATTTAGAGTAGATGTAGATTATCAGATTTTCTCGTTTTACCCAAATATGAATTTATATGCACACCTGAAATATGCCTGCTACTGAAATCACTTATTTAGATAAAGTGTGGCTAACCTTTTTATTTTAAGTCTTCATTCTAGACATATTATTTGTGAGTTTTACACATTGTGTAGTGTTTTAATAAGAGCAGAACATATTTGCCCATAAATTCTTGAGAATCAATGTCAAAACCATTGTTGTTATGTGAACTAAGACTATTAAAAATATTTTTTGTTAATTGAAATAAAGCTGAAATAAAAATTAAAACATATCTTAAACAAACCTTAACTGAAATTAATAGTTAATAGGTTTGAAGTTGAAAAATCTAAATCTAAATATTTAACAAAACTAATAAAAATGACAAGCACATAACTACTAAAAAGCAGCTAAAAGATATTGTAAAATATTAATACTGTAATTGCATATAAATGATGCTAAAATAACACTGGTCAGAGCCCTTTCTTGAATGAAGTTCTGTCTTAATTTCAATTTTGTTTTTCAGTTTTGTTTTATATCTGAAGGATATAGCCAGCCACAGGTTTGATAGAAAGATATCAGGATCTAAATGTTCAAATGTGTTGCTGCTTGAGCAATGTCAATCAAAAACTTATGAAGCCAGCAGGCAAGTTCATTGCTACAGGAATTACTGTGTGGCTATTTATAGCATGCAATATTTTACTTCCGGCACATTATAGTTCTGCTCTTATGGTTCATGGAAAGTTACATTGATAGTAAACACAGCTGCATGGCACTTAAATTTGACAAAAAAATTGTGTAATTTGCATAGATGTATCTATTTGTGGTTGGCTGAAACTGTAGCCTAAGGCTAGATTCTTCTAGCCTTAGTATTAGCCATAGTTTTTGATTGCTCAACCTTGATAGAGGACAATTGCTTTAATTAATTATATACATCAGAGGCTTTGCTCTGGATCAGAAAGAAAAGTACTCCACCAGAGCCAGGGGAATGAGGGGCCTGTTACACCAGCCATGAGAACACTCTGGACTATGGCATCTATGTTCAGAAGAGTGCTGATGCACCACATAGTATATTTGCACTCTGAGCATAAGCCTGGATGGGTCATTTTTCAAAAGGAATTCGTTTTTTGTTTTATTTAATTTGATCTCAGTACATTTTTCACTTGGGTTTGTTGACAGGCCCACATGCAAATACCAAAACTAATGTTAAAAAAGATTATGTAATGTACTGTAAAATAACATTTGTAGCATTTTGAAGCATCAATATTGATATTTTCTATTTATGTTTAATAACAGTACAGTATGTCGTGCCTGAAGGACAGGGCCAGGGGCTAAATCATGAGTAACACTATTAGATATAAGAAGACCGAGATTAACCAGCTGTTGACAACAGTGTTGTTAATGTTAACTAAAAAAAAAAATTTTCATAAAGCTGTAATAAAAGATAATACACATATTAGATCCTTTTTGTAGAACTGCTTATAGCTGAACTTAACCTGTTTCAAAATTATTGACCTTCACACTGTTATTGATCTGAACTGAACCAACACTGAACTGACTTAAGCTAAATTACACGATTGTCTATTAGAGCTGCTTTACAGCAAAATCTGAATTGTCTCTATAGTTGAGTTTCCATAATTGATTCTGCTTTTTTCCTGTTTATCTCTGTGAAGCTGCTTTGACTCAATCTGTATTGTGCAAAGTGCTATAGAAATAAAGGTGACGACTTGAAAAACCTTAAAGGGATAGTTCACCCAAAAAATTAAAATTCTGTCTTTAATTACTCAAACCTCATTCTGTCTTTAATTACTCACTTTATTCAACAATTCATCTCCTCCACGTCACCCTAGCGCCATTTTGGAGAGTATCCACTGAATGCACACAGCGTATGCTGTTCTGTGTCAGCTACGCCACACGGATGGGAGGGTCAGAGAGCTGTCAGAATGCATAAAAAATATCTTAATTTGTGTTCCGAAGATGAATGGAGGTCTTACGGGTTTGGAACAACATGAGGGTGAGTAATTAATGACAGAATTTTCATTTTTGGGTGAACTAACCCTTTAAATGATCTTAAATGACAATTAGATATGTTACCTTGGAGACTAACTGAAATAAAATAAGTTTAAGTACTGAAATGACTAAAACTGAAATAAAAATAAAGCTAAATAGAAATATTTTCAAAACTAAATGCAAATATAAAAATAAAAGCAAATTCAAGATATTAATAAATACTTTATAAATAATACTAAAATAACACAAAGAGTATAAAAAAAAACGTCACATCACTTTTTGGTTAACGTCGGTCCTGGCGAGCCGCAGCCCTGCAGAGTTTTGCTTCAACCCTAATCAAACACACCTGAACAAACTAATCAAGGTCTGAACGGTTATTAGGAAGCTACAGGCAGGTGAGTTTTAATTAGGGTTAGAGCTGAACTCTGCAGGGCTGCGGCTCTCCAGGACCGGTGTTCGCCACCGCTGGCCTCTGATAAGAGGGTAATGTGTGCGGTAAAAAATGCATTTGCATTTACGTTTATATTTAGTCATTTAGCAGACACTTTTATCCAAAGCGATTTACAAATGAGGATAATAGAAGCAATCAAAACTAACAAAATAGCAACAATATGTAAGTGCAAATGACAAGTCTCGGTTAGCCTAATGCCGGGTTCAGACTACACAATATTTTTGTCAGTCACGATAGTTACTGTGTCAGATTACATGATTTTGACTCCTAAAATCTTGTTGTGTCCTGGACAAGAAACCTGTCAGACTACACGTTGCTTCTCGACCATTCATCGCGTGCCGTCTTTAACGACGATCAGTAGCGATTGACTACTAGCGATTGACTTCCGAAAACAAGAGTGTAAACATTGCTGAAGCGCTTCCGCTATAGTTCGCCAGCATTTGTCGTGGTAGTCCCTCGATGTTACTAAAAGTAGTTTACTAAAGTACCTCAATATTTCTTCTACTAATTACATTGTCATAGCTCTAAACAGTTTATTTTTTCCTTCTCTCTCTAAATCAGACCAGACCCCTGTACTGCAAGATAATGGTTTTTAATGGTTTTCGGCTGAGCAGGGAGGCCCTGACAGTGCTGCTGGATCTTCTGAGAAGTGAACGGCAACACGGATGGGGTGCCACAACCCTGGTGTTTCCCTTCTGTCTGTCAGTGGTACATCATACAGAGTGGTCTCCAGAGTGTTTGACGTGCCTCGTTCCACTGTCACCGCATTGTCCTCCGAGTTGCTGAGGAGGTGCTGGCCATTCACTAAGAGATTCACCACCTGAAGACCCCAGAACACATGGAGGCAGGGCTGGGCTCAAAACTGATGTTGTTTTTCTGATGTTAAACCTAAGCTATGTTGTAAATAGTATGTTGTAAATAGTTTTAAAAAGTACTTTCAGTAATGTATAGAACAATTTGTTTTAATATGTAAAAAAAATTGTTTACAAGACTAAAAAAATAAACATATAGAAGAATGTTTTGTGAAAAAATTATAAGCTGCATTAAAAAAAATTAACAATGTACATAATTACTTCTCTTTTATTTACACGTGACTATGCAAAACAAAAATACAAAATGTACAGAAAGTACTCAGGCTCATTTACAAATAAATTACACAACAAAAACGAATAATGTATACAACTTATTCATTTTATTTTTAACTAGCATCACAAAAATAAACTACAGAAATTTCATTGTTTCAGTTTCATTGGCAATGTGACATTTAAAAAAAGATATAGAAATATTGTAATGTACCCATTTTTTCCACTGCTTTCTCTTGCCTAATAGAGAATGGCTAATAAATAATGTATTTGTTAAGCATTCTCTGAAGAAGAGAAAAGGAGAGAGCATTCTCCTGTGCTCTTCTCTCTTCTGTCTCTCTCTGGAGTTTGATGTCCTCCCTGAGTAGCTCCACCAGCTTCCACTCACTCCCTCACCTGTCCCAGGATAATTGCAATCCTAATGCCGGGTTCAGACTACACAATACTTTTGTCGGTCACGATAGTCACTGTGTCAGATTACACGATTTTGACTCCTAAATGTTGTCATGTCGTGGACAAGAAACATGTCAGAGTACACGTTCATAGAGTGCCGACTCTGTCATCGAGAAGGTGGAACTAGCGACTGACTTCCGAAAACAAGAGTGTAAACATTACTGAAGCACTTCCGCTATAGTTCGCCAGAATTTTTCTTTCTTTGTTCTGTCGTGGTAGTCCCTAGATGACACATAATACAGGCAGGAGTACTGTTGCCACAGCTCCACGAACCTTTCCTCCATCTCATAATTCCACCTAGCAGCACCATCATCTCTTTAGTTTTGCCATGTTTGAAACCTGTGTATGAAAGAGCTTCTGTGCTGCTATTGGTCAACGCTACCAATGTGACAGAACTCGTCGTGGACGACGGACACATTTTTGTCTTGTCTTTCTGTCATGATGTCGTGAAGCATCGCAGACGTGGAATCGGTTGTCGTCCACTATGACACACTACACAAGTTTTTTTTTTTATAAAAAAAGAAGATAAATAGATAAAGTAGAACTGAAATAGAATAGAAAGTGCTAGAGTAAGAGTGTCAAATAAAGATGGAACAGATGTGTTTTAGTCATTTCTTGAAGATGGCTAAGGACTCAGCTGCTCAGATTGAGTTGGGCAGGTCATTCCACCAGGAGGGAACAGTTAATGAAAAAGTCTGTGAAAGTGATATTGTGCCTCTTTGAGATGGCACAATAATGCATTGTTCACTTCCAGAACGCAAGCTTCTAGAGGGCACATAACTCTGAAGAAATGAATTTAGGTAAAGGGGTGCAGAGCCAGCGGTGGTTTTGTAGGCAAACATTAATGCTTTGAATTTTATGAGAGCAGCTACTGGTAGCCAGTGCAAATTGATGTGCGTTCTTTTCGGCTCATTAAAAATTAATCTTGCAGCGGCATTTTGGATTAATTGTAGAGGTTTGATAGAAGTGGCTGGAAGACCTGCCAAGAGAGCATTGCAATAGTCCAGCCTGGACTGAACAAGAGCTTGAACAAGGAGTTGTTGCATGTTCTGAAAGAATGATGATATTCCTAATGTTGTATATAGCAAATCTGCAGGACCGGGCAGATTTAGCAATGTGGTCTGAGAAATACAGCTTATCATCAATCACAACGCTGCTCACTTGCAGAAAGCACGCTTCTAGAGGGCACATAACTCTGAAGAAATGAATTTAGGTAAAGGGGTGCAGAGCCAGCGGTGGTTTTGTAGGCAAACATTAATGCTTTGAATTTTATGAGAGCAGCTACTGGTAGCCAGTGCAAATTGATGTGCGTTCTTTTCGGCTCATTAAAAATTAATCTTGCAGCGGCATTTTGGATTAATTGTAGAGGTTTGATAGAAGTGGCTGGAAGACCTGCCAAGAGAGCATTGCAATAGTCCAGCCTGGACTGAACAAGAGCTTGAACAAGGAGTTGTTGCATGTTCTGAAAGAATGATGATATTCCTAATGTTGTATATAGCAAATCTGCAGGACCGGGCAGATTTAGCAATGTGGTCTGAGAAATACAGCTTATCATCAATCACAACTCCAAGGTTTCTAGCTGTTTTTGAAGGAGTTATGGTTGATGAGCCTAACTGGATGGTGAAATTTTGATAAAATGATGGGTTTTTTGAAACAAGCAGTTCTGTCTTAGCCAGGTTGAGTTGAAGGTGATGGTCCATCATCCAACAAGAAATGTCTGTTAGACATGCTGAGATGCGAGCAGCTATCGTCAGATCATCAGGATGGAATGAGACGTAGAGTTGAGTGTCATCAGCATAGCAGTGATATGAAAAGCCATGTTTCTGAATGACAGAACCTAGTGATGCCATGTAGACAGAGAAGAGACGTGGTCCAAGAACTGAACCCTGAGGCACCTCAGTAGCTAGATGTTGCGACTTGGACACCTCACCTCTCCAAGATATCTTGAAGGACCTATCTGAGAGGTAAGACTCAAGCCACTGGTGTGCGGTTCTGGAGATGCCAATTTCCAATAGGGTTGACAGGAGAATCTGGTGGTTCACCATATCAAAAGCAGCGGACAGATCCAGCAAGATAAGTATAGAAGATTTGGAAGCCGCTATAAGTCTTAGGGCTTCAACAACTGAGAGCAAGGCAATCTCGGTCGAATGACCACTTCTGAAGCCAGATTGGTTGCTGTCCAGGAGGTTCTTCTGTGTGAGAAAGGCAGAGACTTGGTTGTTCAAGTGAACTCGTTCAAGTGCTTTTGCAAAGAAATGTAGAAGGGAAACTGGTCTGTAGTTCTCTAAAAGAGTTGGGTTAAGAGTGGGTTTCATAAGAAGTGGGGTTATACAGCCTGTTTAAATGTTGAGTGAAAAACACCAGTGTGAAGGGATGTGTTAACGATGTGAGTGAGTGCAGGTACAATGGCAGGAGAAATGGCTTGAAGGAGATGAGATGGAATATGATCAAGCGGACAAGTAGTAAGATGATTGGAAATTATGAGTTTAGATGCATCATTAAATGCATCATCTATTCAGAGGCCCAATAGCTGTGGTTTTGTGTATGTGGCCTTGCTCCCTAATACACAGCAGTCCAGCGCTGATGTAATGTTACATGAATTATAATGACTTATAACAGCTTGTGTACTGTCTGGGCGCAGGAGGTTCTAGCATGAAATCTGCAGTGTTGGCTGAGAGGACTGATTGTTGGGCACAGTACTGTACCTGTCAGCGGATCCCAGGAACTTGAACGTCACCACCACCTTGCCAAAATAGTCCTGGTTGGTCTCTGCAGCAGTGCTAATTATAGACGCCTCTGCTGCCATAGCTGTTCTGTGGTACAGACTGCTGTGATGCTCCATAACAGAAGATTTACTTTCTGCCCTCATAAAAACACTTATATGCTTTCATTTACAACAACAAGCACAGGGTGTTCTGGTTAAATTTCCTTAACAAATGTTGGTTAATTATGTGTCAACTTATAAACATTCATTAGGCCTTTTTGGAAACCTAGTTAGAGATATGATACAGTGTTCTCACTTCTGTAGATTTGTTGGTTATTTCAGTTAGTGTAACTGAATTGTAAACTGATTATTTAATGATCCTTTATCACATATATGAATTGGCGAATATATACTGAATTGAAAAGATATGAAGGTATGACTGAAAGAGACAGAGAGATGCAAAGAGGAACAAGAAAGGTGCATTACCCCGTGACTGTGTATTGGATTATACGTCTCCTCCTCCTTCCTCTATCCCGATTCTGATTTGTCATAAGCAAACTCTATCTAGATTCACTGCAAAAATCTTCTCTTGTTGACTCATGGCTTTTTGTGGGTCACCTTATATAGCTGTGGTCTATTTGGACTTAAGCCTTTAGCTGAGTTTAGCATAAGATTTGATTAACAGACATACATCCTCCATCTCGCTTTAACCTAGAATGTTGCACTAATGCATAGGACTAAACTGATAGGAAAACCATGAGATAATTAAAAAATAAATCAGTGAAACATTATCGAATTATAAGGCACACTAATACAGAGAAGAATTATCACTCAAATATTGATGCTAATATTACAAACAAACTGGAAGAACTTGCATTCAATTCTCAGACAGTGCATTTAAACAAATAAATGGAACACTTGGATAAACCTTAAAAACTTTTTAAAAAATCTAATTCACACAAAATTATATAATCAATAGGTCCATTATTTTAAGTAATCAAAATAATTGAACCAATTTCTAAGTTATTCAAGATTCAACTGGATTTTTCAAGTCAGTTTAATACAATTTATGTTTAAATGACTTGTACAGCCAGTTTAATTATACATCCCCCAAATTTAAATTCTCTCATTTCATCACCCACATGTTGCTCCGAAACCTGAATGAATTTTTCTGTGGAACAAAAAAAAAAAAAGGATAATTTTTTTTGTTGTCTTTTTCCACGCAATTACAGTAAATGAGAACTTAAGTTTTCAAGTTTTACTATAAAAAATATCATAAACGTCCACTCAATTCATGCACTAAATTCCAAGTCTCAGACGGAAAAATGTAATTCATTATTTAAAAAAAATTCTCCTTGGCATATTAAAGAGAGAAAAGGCCATTTAGGATTCTTGAATCATTCTTTTGTGTCAGATATCTAGAATGATCCAATCTGGATGATCTGAAGGATACATTCTGATTCATTTATTGAGTTGATTTGGTCAAGGCAGTTGATATTGTTGGGGCATTACATAAGCTATCTGACATAACGGATCTGTTTAGCAGCATCTGAAATGTTAACCGTTCCAAGATGGCGGACGTGTTGACATATGTAAACTAGTCAAATTAGGGATCCACGTATAGATACGCGTTAACAGCTCACTTGAGGGGAAAATTATCAGTGAATAACGACTTGAAATTCAGTCTGTTTTTCATACAAAGCTGTCGCATGACATCAAAAGACTTTAAATACTGCATGCATGTGACATTAAACCCGCTTATGATATGTTTATGCCGCTTTTTCATTCTTTTTGAAACTTAAAGGCTTCAGTCCCAGTGTATAATATTGCACAGAGAAGAGCAACCAGCACATTGTTTCTCCTTTTGAGTTGCATGGAAGAAACAAAGTCAAACAAGTTTAGAAGTTACTGATGTATACATAGCTTACACTACTGACAATTTTAGAATTAGATGGATGGAAATACTAGAAGTGAGATATGTGTGAGTATGTATAGGAATTGGTTCCTCACAGTGGTTGGAGAATTGGTTGGTTGCATCTGTCACCACGCCAACACCCTGTTACTCCAGATCATGTAGCGCTGTGATTGGTGGAGGCAGCTGTCCATCATATGGGTCAGGTTTCACACCGATTTAGAAAGTGCAGGGGCAGCGCTCTTGATGACGGCTTTTATGGATGTAAGACTGTAGACGAAACTAACCACAGTTCTTACAGCATAGCCTGAAATATCTGTGCAGGCAAAAAACACCAACACGGTGTGTTTGTACTCAGCTAACAAAACCAGCTCTCAGGGTGATAATAAATACATAATGGTTGTGCTCACACAACACAAACCCTAATGAGCATAAAACAAGAAGTCCCTTTACCTTAATGTTTCCAAATTAACAGGAACTGTCCTCTTAACCGTTATTTCATGTGCTAGGGCATCACTAACATGCATTTAAACATCTCAACTAAATCACACATGCTGTTTAAAGAAGCTGAAGGACATTCAAATGTATTGTTATTATGATTATTATTTATTTACTTTTTTGTTGTTGTTTTGTTACGCAGCTTGCTGCACAAGTCCTGGAGGATCTTGACGACGAGGACATCAGTATCGGCCTACTTGATGAGAAGACAGACAAAGCTGTTGCCAAGAAATTAGGTAAGCACATTCAAGAAACACTCAAATATTACCATACCTGTAATGTGATGTGATCTACTCCATGTAAAACTACTTTACTACTTCTAATGAACTAATTTGCATGCAGTTTTATAACCATATTAATTTAGAGATAAAGTGGAATATTTGTAGATTTTTGAATAAAAATTATTTTTCACAATGCAAAAAAAGAACAACAAGAAGAAAAGCTGTGATCAGTCACAGCACCTAAAATATACATTTTTGTTTATACATAACCTTAACCTAAAGTGTTGATGTTTATGTATAATGCTTCACGTTGTGGAAGATACTGTTGGTGTGTTTTGGTTTGTCTAGTCCAGGGCTGTCCAAACTCGGTCCTGGAGGGCAGGTGTCCTGCAGAGTTTAGCTCCAACCCTAATTAAACGCACCTGAACCAGCTAATCAAGCTCTTACTAGGCATAGAAACTTCCAGTCAGGTGTGTTGAGGCAAGTTGGAGCTAAACTCTGCGGACATCCCTTTACCTTAATGTTTCCAAATTAACAGGAACTGTCCTCTTAACCGTTATTTCATGTGCTAGGGCATCACTAACATGCATTTAAACATCTCAACTAAATCACACATGCTGTTTAAAGAAGCTGAAGGACATTCAAATGTATTGTTATTATGATTATTATTTATTTACTTTTTTGTTGTTGTTTTGTTACGCAGCTTGCTGCACAAGTCCTGGAGGATCTTGACGACGAGGACATCAGTATCGGCCTACTTGATGAGAAGACAGACAAAGCTGTTGCCAAGAAATTAGGTAAGCACATTCAAGAAACACTCAAATATTACCATACCTGTAATGTGATGTGATCTACTCCATGTAAAACTACTTTACTACTTCTAATGAACTAATTTGCATGCAGTTTTATAACCATATTAATTTAGAGATAAAGTGGAATATTTGTAGATTTTTGAATAAAAATTATTTTTCACAATGCAAAAAAAGAACAACAAGAAGAAAAGCTGTGATCAGTCACAGCACCTAAAATATACATTTTTGTTTATACATAACCTTAACCTAAAGTGTTGATGTTTATGTATAATGCTTCACGTTGTGGAAGATACTGTTGGTGTGTTTTGGTTTGTCTAGTCCAGGGCTGTCCAAACTCGGTCCTGGAGGGCAGGTGTCCTGCAGAGTTTAGCTCCAACCCTAATTAAACGCACCTGAACCAGCTAATCAAGCTCTTACTAGGCATAGAAACTTCCAGTCAGGTGTGTTGAGGCAAGTTGGAGCTAAACTCTGCAGGACACCGGCTCTCCAGGACCGAGTTTGGACAGCCCTGGTCTAGTCTGTAAATAAGTCCATGTCTGTTTCCATAGGTTAGTGGAAGAAATAGAATTAAAAAAGGTCATTTTTGATTTTTTTTTTAATTGAATCTGATTGTGTGTTTTCTGGTGGAAATTCTCAAAACTAGTTTTTGCTGTTTCAGGACTTATTTCATGATTTATTAATTCCTCTGGTACAGATTACTTGTTCAATTTTAGGATATCAGCAGAAGAACAACCATGACCTCTGGTGGACATTTCCCACATGGTTCTCACAGGTTTATTTCCATTCTTGTGCTCTTCAGGTCTGGTTGAGGCTGACAGTATCTACATCTTCATTGAGGACGAGGTCATTGAGTACGATGGAGAGCTTGCTGCGGACACACTGGTGGAGTTCCTCTATGATGTATGTGAAAAATAATGTATACCTTGTGCTTATGTTTTTGTTTTCTTTCACATTTTTAATTTACTTCCTGCACTTCTTTTCCCCAACTTCTTCTCCTTGCATCTTCTTTTCATTTCCCCCCTTTCTAATCAAATCTTTTCCCAGGTCATTGAGGATCCAGTTGAGATCATTGACAATGTGCGAGAGTTGAAAGGTTTCCATAATATTGAGGAGGATATCAAGCTGGTGGGCTTCTTCAAGAGTCAGAAATCTGAGCGTACGTATCCAAATGGGCCATGCAATGGGCTTTTCCCCATATAAAAGTAAGTGAACTGTTTGAGAAGTTCACCTGTGGCCTTGTGATTTTTAGACTACCAAGAATATGAGGACGCAGCAGAGGAGTTTCATCCACACATCAAGTTCTTTGCCACCTTTAGTCCAAAGGTAGCTAATGTAAACGTAATTTACACAACCCTATGTACTAACATGGTATCTAGTTTGACCAGTTGGATTGGACTTTCTGGTGATTTTTAGGTTTTATATCTTATCTTATCTCATCTGGATCTTTTTATTTATGCTAAAAGGACTTTCTGAATGTTTGAAATGGCAGTAGCTTCACTCTGGCAGCAGAGTTTTAATAAACAAATTAACTTTTTGCTTTCGGCTACTTTTCTAAAACTTTACACTATGTAATAATAAAATGGATAAATTTGATTAAAATTTCAATTTGGATAAAAGTGTCTGCTAAATGTCTAAATCTAAATAATATTGTATGGGTGTCCATAGTGCGTAAAGACTATCGCAGCTCCATAATCAGCTGTAGTGTGTAGCAATATTTATACTGTATTCAAATTAAAAGTAAATCTGCATGAGTAGTTTTTAAAGCAACACCTTTATTTCTATGCATGTCAATTTACCCTGAAGTTGAAAAACCCTGAAATTGACCGTTTCTCCATTGATCAAATCTATGCAACCCCTGTTTGCAGGTTGCTAAGAGTCTAGACTTGAAGTTGAATGAGGTGGACTTCTACGAGCCCTTCATGGATGAACCCGTCGTCATCCCTGGTAAACCCTACAGTGAGAAAGAGCTGGTTGCATTCATTGAGGACAATGACAGGTGTGTTGACTGATGTGGAAAATGGTTTAAATTGAGAAATAAAATCATTAGTGAACATTATTGAAAATGTCTCAACAGGCCGACACTGAGGAAGATGCAGCCACACAACATGTATGAGATCTGGGTAAGCTGATGCTGTGTCAGTCAAACAACAGTTTTTCGGTGCTTGCAAGGCAACACTTGATATTGCTGAAACATTCTGTTTTTCTTCTTTTTTTGACAGTTTGCTACAATAAATTCAGCTTGAACCACTTCACATTCAGAATCATTTCAAAGTTTGTTTTGTTGATAATTTCACTCTGCCATTGAGGTGAATGGGAATGCTAATGGATAGCTCTCTCCAGGTATTACAGACCTCCTTGATTTAACCATCTATAATTTAATGCCAAGGGTATGTAATGATAAGTATGGTGATGTAAATGTACACTGACGTTTTTAAAGCTACACTATGCAACTATGTAACCTTCCAAACCATTTCTTTACTTTACCCAAATACACTTTGATAAACTGCTGGGACAGATTTCACAGGAAAATTGCATACATACGTCATTAGCCTGTGGGTAGGAGCGGAAGGTTTCTTGTTACAACAAATGAACCATGGATCATTCAAAACGGAAAAAAACGGACCAAACAAACAAAAAACACATTATTTATTTGTCCATCCACTGTGAGGAGATGTCCTGTATCAGGGTTATTATAGCTAACTAAAAATAAAATGAAAACCATTAAACAAAAACTACTAAAATGACAAAAACACGAAAAATAAATTACTTAAACTTGAACTAAAATTACAATTAATATGGAAAATATAAAAATAAAAACTAATAGTATCTCAACAATATTAAAATATCTCTTCTATGTTTAGATCAGCGCATCGAACCACAACAAACCAAATTCTTCAGTAAGATGCATTTAACTTTATTGTTTTACCACTAAAGGGACAAGTTAAAAAGTGTAGCTTTAAAAATAAAAGTATTTTTAAAAATTGTAGATTTACCAAGATAATTATTGCAGAAATACATCATCATAATCTGTGAAAAGGGTCCACATCTTTCAGAAAACTTAAACACTTTTCTTATGCTGCCTTGCAAGCACTGCTATTTCCTTCAGGACATAAACATGTAGTATATTCACAAGATTATCTATTAGAAACTGTTGCTAGACACAATGAAACTAATGTACAGTAAATTATATTCTTAATGAAGGATCAAAGACATCGCAAAGGTATTCCAAGATGTGATCTCATGATTTGTAGTAGTAACTGTAGAGCACAAGATCTTTTGCTTCATGTTCTGTAACCATCATTTTCTGACAGGAGGATGCTCTTGATGGCGAGCATATAATTGCTTTTGCTGAGGAGGGAGACCCAGGTATGATACATTTTTATTAAGCTTCTTATTATGATCAAGGCCACTGTTATTTTAAAACATAACTTTAATTTTCACTTGAACATGTCTGCTGTTTTCTTGGGGTTCTTGCAGATGGCTTTGAATTCCTTGAAATCGTGAAGGAGGTGGCAGAGGATAACACCGACAATCCCAACCTAAGCATTGTCTGGATCGACCCCGATGACTTCCCTTTGGTAACCCTATGTCTTATATTATGCTAAAAAATGTGGAATATTCCAAATATAATCCTTGTTGTGAAAGTAGATTCCAGTACAGAAGCAGTGATGAGAGTGCCTCTGTGACCTGCAGCTTGTTCCCTATTGGGAGAAGACCTTTGACATTGACCTGTCCTCACCTCAGATTGGTGTAGTAGAGGTTGATGATGTAAGTTTCTCACAGTAGGATTTATTTGCTGTGTGTTGTGTCTTTCGAAACTGAGCTGTTGTATCTTCCGCAGGCTGATAGTATCTGGTTTGATATGGATAATGATGATGACATGCCAACAGTTGATGAGCTGGAGGATTGGCTGGAGGATGTGCTAGAGAACAAAATTGATCCTGATGAGGATGAGGACGATGATGATGATGATGATGACGACGACGATGATGATGATGACGACGACGACGACGATGACGACGACGATGACGACGATGATGACGACGACGACGATGATGACGACGATGATGACGACGACGATGACGACGACGATGACGACGATGATGACGACGACGATGACGACGATGATGATGACGACGACGATGATGACGACGACGACGATGACGACGACGATGATGACGATGATTAAACTCGTACCATTTTACATATATTTTACAAACTAAAGTCTGTTTAATTGCAACTGTCTGAATAATCAACGTCATAAAAATTCCTTCATTATTTTTTGTCGGATATCACAAGGTTAAAAATGTCATCATTTAACTGTGACCTTCCACGCATATCTAGGAATGCGCTTATCATTCTCTCTCCCATTGACCCAATGTTTTATTCAAAGACCAGCTCTCTCTTAAACCTTCAGATATTCACTTCCAAATGTTGACGTCACTTCTAAAATCAAATCATTAGCAAAATATGTATTGCTTTCAGTTTTTTGCCATCCATTTTTTCATTCATAAAGACACTGTAATTGGCAGTTAAATACACCACTAATACATTTGGAAAAGGACCTGACTTTCAAGCATAAAAATGCAACCAAAAAAATTTAAGTTTGTCAGAGGGAGCAGCAACATTATTTAAGTGTACATCCATCTGTTAAATTTGTTGTTATTGTCTCATTGTTTATTTGTACTAATATGTGGATGGATTGTTTGTCCCACTGTGATAGGACCTAAAGGTGCTAAGCAGGCTTTTCCTCAAGGTCATTTGTCATGCCTTCTTTCTTTGATAAGACAGAATGTGACCTTATGTGATGTTAGACAGAGAAGGGATTGTCCAGCCTTCCTTCAGTGTCTAAAAATTGCAGTAAATCACGTTTTTTACTGAAAAAGAAACTTTTTTTTTAATAAAGACAACTTGGTTTAACTCTTAAGTTTTAAAATAAAAACAGATTGGAATAAAGTGTTGTGAATCACAGTTTTTTTTTAATGAGACATTACAAATATGTCTGAGGCTTTTGATCTGCTGGTTGTAGGTTATTGTGTTCTAAATATTTCAAATACAGAATTTACATATACAGAATATGGCACTGTATTTCTCTTCTATTTTACCATGTAGTGTCATGCCGAGGAAACAGATGTTCATTCAGCATATTATGCTTTTGATACAAAAGATGCTACCATCTCACATAGATATCGCAAAGGTGTCTCTGTGATATTGTGTGTTTTATCTTATTTTTTCCTCATTATTCTGACTTTCATTGCTTTCCTGTTCCAAATGTGGCACTTTCCACGAATAGGGTACCAGTGTTGGGCAGTAACTAGTAACTTAGTTACTGTAATAATATTACTTTTGCAGTAACTAGTAGTGTAACTAATTACTAATAAGATTTCGGTAATAATATTAGTTACCATCCATAAAACAGCTTAGTTACTTAGTTACTTTTGATGCCTCAATTTATGCTGCAGCAGGCAAGCTTGGAATATGGAAAAGCTTACATTCAGCAGATAGAAATATTGCATTATATTGATTTTGTCTGGAAAAAAGATGATCTGAGCACTGTTGTGTAAATTGTGGCTTTACTCTGGCATTACATCCCACCCACATCCCTCTGATCAGCATGTGGTACATTATATTACTATAATTAAAAATATTTTTGGAAAATTAAAGTTTCTTACAAACTTATGTGATTTGATAAAATACATAATGAAATATAATCGTATATGTGTAACGAAGAAATTACAATTAGCTTTAAGCTACACATGACAATTAATGAGATTAATACAACACTTCTACTTGAATGTCACTATCAATCACTAGAATTTTATGTGGGACATACACAGTTCCAACTTCTGTGGGGTGTGAAGAAAAAGTAATGTAACTAGTAGTGTAACTAATTACTGTTGCCAGAAAGTAATAAGTAAAGTAACAATATTACTTTTGAAATGAGTAACTAGTAATTAATAATATATTACATTCTTTGAGTAACTAGCCAAACACTGTAGGGTACATTCATTCATTCATTACTTTTTCAACAATTCAGTAAAGGTCAACCTTAGGAGGTTAAAGTAATTTTTATATTAACTGTATTATTTCGTATTCTTTTTCCATGGGAAGCAGTTTTTACTGCATAAACTTGGCATGAAATTAAAATTAGCCCTAATTTCTAAATGATCATGTTATAGATCTTATTATGAATTTTTTTTTTTACCTTTGACCTTTGACCAAAATGTCATAACTGGATGTTCCAGTGAAAACGACATACTCCCTTTCTGGTAACGCATGCAGGAGCAGGACTTCTCCAATCAATGAATCCGCGTAAACCCAGTAGCCCCTCACTGCAGTACACAAGATCCATCTAGGGGGTGGAGATGGTAGGTTTAGGGGTGGAGATGGGTAAGTTTAGGGATCAGGGGGTGAAGATGGTAGGTTTAGGGGTGGAGATGGGTAGGTTTAGGGATCAGGGGGTGGAGACGGGTAGGTTTAGGGGTGGAGATGGGTAGGTTTAGGGATCAGGGGGTGGAGACGGGTAGGTTTAGGGGTGGAGATGGGTAGGTTGAGGGATCAGGGGGTGGAGACGGGTATGTTTAGGGGTGGAGATGGGTAGGTTTAGGGATCAGGGGGTGGAGACGGGTAGGTTAAGGGATATGGAAGATGGGAGGAGTTGGATCTGGATCCAACCTCGCACCGGATCTTGTGTTCTGCAGCGAGGACCATCTGCTTAAACCCTGCCTCTCGTTAACCCCGCCTTGCGTTCATCTGCCTCCATTTCTGAGTGCAACGCACATATCTAAAAATCCCATTAACAACCGAAGAATAGAATCATTTTTTTTCCGACTTGAATGTGTCACAATATGAAAGGAAATATCTGGCCAAAGTTTTGTTTTATCAAGACTTAAAATCTGTGATTTTGCCATTTTTATTAAACATCAATGGAAAAATAGCAAAAAATATGCAGTTAAAAATAATTATAAGTTTCATAATGAATTTAATTTTTTTACTAAAATATATGTCAGCATGCAGTGCAAACAAGACGAAGAATTGGACTACCTTTCTGTAAAGAAACAAAACTTTAAACAATGGATATTCTAGAATAAATGACACCATCCTATGACCAAATTTTGCGATCAATATTCCCATATATCTATCAGGAGCGACGTCTGGATTTGGCGCCACCAGTAATACGTGCATACGTCACTGTGTCAGCAGACACGCCCATTACTTCCATCTTAGCCATGTGGCTATGACCACAAACGACTGCACGACCGATCTGTTTGTTTATGCGTTGTGAATATTATTGTGCATGTTCAGACCGCGAGCAAAATGTCCGAGTCCGTGTGCAGGTTTCAAGCTGAGGTGGCGGCCGTTATGGAGGTATTACTGAAGGTGGCCGTCGTGGAGATAACGAAAGTTTTCGAAGGACGCGCATTGGATTGCCATGGCTGCACGGTCGATAGAGAAGCTCAGCTCAAAGAAAATCTGGTGTGTGTCCCTGACATCAGGGCTCATATGGAAAGTGCATTAACTAATCTCTCTGACAAGATGGTTTGTAGCGTCGGTGTGCAAGTAGGAGAGACACTGCTGTCCCACCATCAGGGTATGTTTGCGTAAAAAACAGCCACTTCTTTTGCTGTGCATGTAGCTTGGTTGTACTTCCACATTTGTTGAATTCAACAGGAGTGGACCGGAAGTACGGGCTATCGTATGTGGCAAGCCGAAGCATTATATATATTCCTTAAAATTAACTATCTATTTTATGTTACTGGTATTTATTTCTTTATTATTATTATTATTAGTTAATAATTAGTATATAGTGGCAGGTATAGTTTTCTTTTCCTAGTAACTGTTCGTTAGATATGAGTACTTTCGTCTTCTTTTGCTATTAGTCTCTATTCCAGTGGTATTTAGTTACATTTTACTAGGTTAGAAAGTACTAGTACTTAATTACTTTAGACTGAATATTAGACCTACTGTTTTGATATTTTCAGTAACATTTCTGCATAGTGATATTCTAAATATTAGTGCAATGTAGAGAGAGAAAATACATATTGATTTGTTAGTGTTTTCATTCAAGCCAAACATATCTCTCTTGCAGTTTTTCTATCTGTATCTATCTATTAAATTATTAATCTCTATCTATATTACGTCTATATGTGATTTGCTGATTCATGTTATGCTCTAAACTGAAATGAATAGATAAAAGTCACTGTTGGAATAAGTACTACTACAATTAAATAGTTACTTCGTTATTGAAACTGAAAATGTATTATTTAGGCTATTATTGGATTGCTTAAAATAACAAGTAACTTAAAACTAAGTACTGTTTAATTTGAAGGAATAGTTGTTAATATGGTTTGCCATACTTTCAAAATCTGTTGACTGATATTTCAAGGTTAAAGTCCGTCTTTGCAGCAGTTTAAATTTTGCAAACCATTGCTTAGTTTTCATGCAAAAAATACAATTATTTGTGTGTGCAACCTTTCTTAAAATGAGAAATAACTAATCATCATATTATGACATTTTTTATAATCAAAATGTTTTGGCAAGACAAAGTTTATAAACCTGTTTGTCTGTTTTTATTCACCTGTTCGTGTAAAGCAAAGCTGGTTCTCAGACATTTGCACCTTTCAAATTCAAAATTTTGAATGATTTTAATTGAAAGGGCAATGTACCCTAAATAATGTGCTTTAAGAAAGCCAGCAGCACTCATTTACACAGACCAGTTTTCTCATGTTTCTGAATTGTAATATGTATTGTGTTCTTTCCCACCCCACACCCACACCCTATTCAGATCAGTGCGTGTCCACTGAGAGAGACAAGATTGGTCTGCAGGAATCCAGAGGAGAGGAGGGGCTTTCTCCCTCTGAAACTCTCTGTAAGGAGTCTCCAAAAGCTGTGGATTTGCAATGCAAGGTTGACCTTCCATGCACCATCTTCAAAGAAACTGTAGGTGGCGCTGATTTGTCAACTGAATTACATTTTTTACTTGGATGAAATAATATTCATTACATATTTTAAAGACAATTTCCATTTCAAACTTGAAATTTAAGATTATATATATATATATCAGTAATTTAACAACACATTTGCATGTTCTCAGTTCTTTGGTGTCGTTTATGACATGGAAGAAAATGGATAAAACATTTTGATCTTTTTTTAGTGTTTTATTTTGACTTTGTAGCTGGACTTTAAAGTGGACTCAAACATCCGTCCACATTACATTCATAATTGTGTTTTAGAATCAAATTTAGTAATAATAATAATATTGTCAACTGAATTACATTTTTTACTTGGATGAAATAATATTCATTACATATTTTAAAGACAATTTCCATTTCAAACTTGAAATTTAAGATTATATATATATATATATCAGTAATTTAACAACACATTTGCATGTTCTCAGTTCTTTGGTGTCGTTTATGACATGGAAGAAAATGGATAAAACATTTTGATCTTTTTTTAGTGTTTTATTTTGACTTTGTAGCTGGACTTTAAAGTGGACTCAAACATCAGTCCACATTACATTCATAATTGTGTTTTAGAATCAAATTTAGTAATAATAATAATAATTATTATTATTATTATTGTAATTATACAAATTACCACAGAAATATGTTACTATTGAAAGTTACAAGTGTACTGTGAAATAAAAGGCTATTTCATAATAATTATAATAATT